ATTAGAAATGTTACAAGAGAGTAACAAACACAAAAAAGAAGGAGGGGAGATCAAGATGTTTGATTGATAGGAAAGAAGGAGCAAACCACACCATAGCACCCGCCAACCACCCACACAGAAAAGAAGGAGGAGGGATACGGACAGTAGATGTTTGATAGGAAAGAACTTAGAAGGAGCACACCTCACCCTAGAGCACCTGCCAACCACCCACACAGACAAGAAGCCAGTCCTGACGGACCTTAAGTTGTGGAGGACAAGGGAGAGAAATCTGCTCAAGACTTACATGAAGAAGCCAAGTGTTGAGAAAGGCCTCACTGAGTCATCCCCCCCCCCACCCCCCATACAGCACAAAATACAAAGAAATACCGATTCTGTAGTGATCCACAGTATCTATTCGGAGATGTCTCCAACAGAGATAGACTAATAGACCAATCAAAATGCTTTGGGCCTCTAAACCAAGTTAAAAAATCTGGGGGGTTAGGGGAGAGGAGCATGCCCCCCTGTTTTAACCCATAATTTGATTTGCAGTTAAGTTCGAAATTTTCTGGAAAATAATTGATTTGCGACAGTTTTAGTAGCTATATATGTGTGATCTGCACCAACTAACACGCAGTTTGACCCCCCAAAAGCAGTGCATCTGTGTGCGGGAGTGCGTCTCCGAATAGTTCCTGGGTGCTCGCCTGAGACGTCTCTGAATATTTTCTGCCTTAGTGATCAGGTCTTAGTTTTAGTTTTGAGTAGAGGTTTTACGGCCCTCGCAACTGCATAAGGTCATATGAGTGCCAGAAGATTAGAGGTGTTACAAGAGAGTAACAAACCTAAAAAAAGAATGGGAGATTAGGATGATAAATGTTTGATAGGAAAGAAGGAGCAAACCACACCAGAGCACCCGCCAACCACCCACTGATCAGGTCTATCCGCTGGAAAATCAGTGTCTGTGAATGATCAAAGCCTTTTCGTTCTAAGAATTCATTATTCTCTGTGTCTCAAGATGGTTGGGTAGAGACAGTAAACAGTAATCTGCGCGGGAAAACCCAGAAGAATATTCAACCATTACCAGCCGATAACGGCACGGTCACCAAGCCAACCCCTTCATGGATCCTGGAGAGGAGGAAGAAGCAGCTATGGCATTAATGTTCCGCCTGCAATGATATAGCCTACCTATTCTCCAACCAAGTTGTATGTAAGTTGGAAGTTCAAGAATTATTTATATATATATTTGGACATTAAAGAGTTTTTAAGACCACCCGATTTTACCATCCATCTCCTCCTTTAGTTTTAGTAAGTGTTTTACGGCACTTGCAACACAATAAGGTCATATAAATATAAGTGCCGAAGATTAGAAGTGTTTCAAGAGAGTAACAAACACAAAAAAGAAGGAGGAGAGATAAAGATGACAGATGTTTGATAGGAAAGAATTTAAGCAAACCACACCAGAGCACCCGCCAACCACCCACATCTATCTCCTCCTACTTAGGTAGAGCCTCAAACTCAAAGGGTTCCAAACCCAGCCAGCCATGCTCAAGAGTGGGAATTTGAACCAGGGTCGTGTGCACTAAAGCCTGGCATGATACCTTCTGAACTTACTGTGCGTTTAGGTTTACACGAATATGTAGTTCTCCAGTGTTGAAAACTTGTTGTGCTGTAAGAAATGTGAGCGCCTTGTTTTTCTATTCTTGTAACGATGGGAGTGTATATTTAGGCTAGATAAAGCTTCACTACGGCCACTCTACGACAATACAGACCACACACAAGCTGACAAATTTCATCTTCGTTTTATTTTCTGGGAGTGAAAATTTAAATTCCCATTTGAGAACAGCAAAACCTTAGTTATTCCACTGAGGAAGCATTCGATTGTAAACAGTACAGTACATGTAAACAGTCAGAGGGAAACTTGTACAAAATATACATATATACGTATGTGTGTATGAGCCCAGAATAAATATATATATATAGCAAGCACCTCTGACCTCTGTTGTGAACCCAAAAGCACTCTCTGCTGCGAATACTTTCCAGCAGCAGGATAAGATGATAAACCAGTATTATGGAACAGTTCACATAACACGATAAATACTGAATGGAATTTTTCACCCATTGTAGCTAGTTTTGTTTAAAAGGAGTTTTATGACATTTGCAACACAATAAGGTCATATAAGTGCCGTAGATTAGAGGTGTTACAAGAGAGTAACAAACACAAAAAAGAAGGAGGGGCCATAAGGACGATAGACATTTGATAGGAAAGAAGAAGCAAACCACACCAGAGCACCTGCCAACCACCCACATTGTACATAGCTCTAGCTGTTGTCCGAGGACAAAAAGTCACACACATACAAGGAGGGAACATTACGCGAAACGTTCAGGAAGTATCAAAGTAGGCCTACGGTATTTGTGCCCTCAAAGAAAAGTACAACATTCAGGAAATATCAGGGTACAGTACTGATATCCTTAAACTTAAAGAAAAGCCAAGCTCCGATGACAGGCAAAGGCAGTAAGTCGTATTTTACAAATTTTATACGAGAGCAGAACTCCAACAACAGACGGTAGCGACAGTGAGATATCCTTTGCTGTAGTAAACATATTATTTGTTGTAGCTTTAGTGTTGGGGGGCTAACCCAAACAGGAAGGGAAACGACGTCTCAGTAGATAGATGGAGATATATATATATATGAGAACTTCCCTCTCACAAAGGTTAAAGTTAAGCTCACATTTTCAGCATGCGACAGTGACGTAGTAAACCGTTGCACCGCAGACTTTAGAGCAAAACAAATCAGCTGTTTCATCAACCTCGCGACCAGCTTAAATGCAAATATTATAATTATATATATGCAAAGTTCCCCATTTAAAAAAAAAATTGGAGGAAAACTACAAATTTAGGAAAAAAAAATGGAAGGGTGCGGTGGCGGGGGGAGGGGGGGGGGGGGTGTCGGTTGTCAGGAGAGGAGAGGAAATAATTCCAAAACCAAACACAGACCAAAAAAACCCCCCAAAAAACAAAAACCCCACCATATTCTCTGCTAGCGTGATTTCCCTGGTGAGACAAGTGGAAAAACAATATCAAAAACATGGACAAGTAAAACTGGGCGATCCTGAAGTAAACCGAGCGTGTTGGATCGTGATTGCCCAACAGTCAGACGTAGAGCACAGTAATTGTTTATTATCGGTTAACTCCTGGGACAAACGTTCTGGTTAAAAGTCAGCAGTCAAACGTACAGTGAAACCCCATAGCAAAACCACTAATGAGATCATCTCCCCCCACTAAAAAAAAAGGAAAAAGAGAAATTAAAAAATTATCTAATTACACCCCCCCAACCACAAAAAACAAAAAAACCCAACAACCAAAAAACCCGACCCAAACCCTTAAAAAAAAAAAAAATGTTGGGCTAAACAGTACTTCCTAAAATATAAATCAGATTTTATAAAATTTGAACTTACTTAAAGTCAAATGAATATCTTCTATTTAATCGATTTTTTTCTTTTTTAGTCTGGCCCAAGGCATCTGAATAATAATGTTTATTGTACTACCAAAGAAAGTAGTGAACTAAGAACTGTGCTCGAACAAAGACGTGACGAACAAATCAACTTTTCAAGTAACTAGGGAAATATCTTTGAACTGTTACACTACAGTAAAACCTGCCCTAACAGCCATCTGTCCAAGACAATCACCTATACAAACAACCACTCCTACCTTGCGTTTTTAAAAATGTGTCGCGACATGGTGGAATCAGGCGCTTATCAAATTTTGGGCATATGGGGTTATTGTTATCATCTGAAAGCCTGTTCGTTTGCCTTGCTTTTGGTGGGAAAAAATATCCATCTATGTTGGATAGAAGTCGAAATATTTGCGATTGAAGGGGATCAGAGTCGCCTGCTTTCAGAGGTGAAATTAGCGAGGAAATGGCCATCAAAGTTTGGTAATTTCCTTAGCTTGAGAGTCCTTGGAAACTGGAAATTGACACCTGTTAAGCCTTTAATCAATTTTTTTCTCAGTTAAATCCACACAGAAATGTGTTTTTCAATGCAAATAAAATGCAGGAAAAAAATGCCAATTTCTTTGATTTAATTATTTTCACGAGTGCCTGGCTTCACCACGATGCCTCACAAATATATAATGACACTGTCCAAAAGTCCATCTCTGTAAGACAACCATTATTATTACCATCACGGGATCTCACTGTAATAGGAAACTAAGACGGGGCTTGCCAAGAAGTAACCCGTCTGTGCGCACAGCGGAGGAGGAAAACACGACAGTTTTACACATGATCAACGGTCCAGGGCTTCTTTTCATTCTCTTGCCAAACAACTGCAGCTAAAAAAAAACCCCAAAATCTGTAGGGTAATATCATCTCCCTGTAAAAAGGTATCGTTCTTCAAAAGACTGCGTAGGCTTGTGGGTACATGTCATCAATGATAGTACATAACAAGATGGTTCACTCAGCCAAAAAAGTGTCCGCAGGAAGTATGCTCTTTGCTTCAGATGGCGCTGCAGTCTGTTTTGAAGCTCTCTTTCGTTTTTCCAAAAGAAGAATAGGAATAGCACCTCCTTGCGTGCGCAGATCAACTGCTGTTCATCAGCAGTTCGGGTTCGTTCAGTGCGGAGTTTTAGGTTTTTTAAATTTTAATGACCTCTCGCCTTTCATTCTAAAGTCAAATTAAACGAAGAAAACCATCACCCTTTCCTCCGGAAAAGGTTTTTTGTCAGCGTAACCATTTTAAAAAAGCGTTCTTCCGAAATTTATCCCAAAACATCCTAGTTTCACTTTGATTTTTAAAAACTCAAGTAGGGTAACTCTGTTCGCTAAAGGTGCGCTTTTGTGAAGAGGGCGCCACCAAATTTTGAGGACACTTTTTTAATTGGCTCAAAGAGAGAAGTGGCCCCTCTTGTCTTGTACTATCATTGACGTCATTTTGACCATTTTTTAACCCTCTATAAAAAATGAAATAAAAAGAGCATTGTCCATCACTGCACTAACAGATTTATATAACAAAACCTAACCAAAACCAAGGGAATTAGAATTTATTTTTTAAAAAGCAAAGACAAAACCCCAACTAAACTTCCTATGCTTTAAAAGCTTTTTCATTTTACTTAACAAAAAAAATGTCCCCCCCCCCCTACCCCCACAAAAAAAACTACAACACCCCCCCCCCAAAACCCAAGGAAGACCCACACTGTCTCTTGATTCCTCCATTCACAACGTAATATCTTCACAGCCAAAAGTTCCCTAAATCCCAGAGCAGTCAGAGAGGTGTGTAAGTGCAAGAGAAAAAGCTTCCAACGTCCTGTGAACACGTCTAGACAAGTTACACATGAATCCCCCACTAGCACCGTTTTTTGGAAACAAAATAAAATATACCCTCCCCCTCCTCCTACCTACACACCCACATATCCTTTTTTTTCCGCTCAGAGGAAAAAAAAAAAAACCCAGCAAAAGAATACCCTTAACAAACAATTTGGCAAAACATTCACAAATGCGGAGGGGGAAAAAAAAAGAAAAAATAATCAGCCAATCATCAGATTCTTGGCCCAAATTCATCTAGGCCACTTGGTCAACCCTTCATCCAAACCACAACAATCAGCAGCGAAGGAGAAAAAAACCACACAACTGCATCAGACGAACAACAAAATAATCCCGAACCAACACCGCCGTCACGAAGGTACCCGGGGTACCCAGGGGGTTGAGATTTACACCGTCATCCTCATTCATTTGGCCAAGTTCTCTCCCTTCCATTCACACTCGGGCAGACGCTAGGACATGTCCGTGTCCTCCTCGATGGACGCAGCCGGCCTCTCCAAGCCCCCTCCGCCTGTCGGGTCCTGCTGTTGCTGCATCTGACAAAAAAAACACACATCATCATCCAGTGCCAGATCTGAGACAGACATTGGCGATCATTGCTCTCCATTCATTCCATTGCTCGGACGCTCTTAAAAAAAGCTATGTTTTCCTGATCTTTCCCCGTTACCCATTTGTTTAGGTTCCCCAAGTAGATTGTTCTGGGCCTGCCCCTGCCTCGTTTGCCTTTAATTTTGCCAGTGAAAGTTAGATGTTCAAGACCGTTGTGTCTATTTAGGTGTCCCAAAAACTGCATTTGTCACATATGACATAAACATATATGTCACACGACGCGGCCTAGATGTATAAAAACTCCCAACAAAATCAAAACTGGTAAATCTGTCCCCTTGGTGTTCTGCACCCCGCATAATTTAGCAAAATTTGATCATTTTTTGCATAATTTCTAAATATTTACCTTTATCATTCTTTGCTAAAATTAAGAGAAACGCATAATTTCACACTTTTGGGCTCAGTTTGCATAATTTCTACTAAAAGGGAGCAAAACAGCAGCAAGAAAAAAAAATCTCACCTGGCCAGCCGCAGGACCCCCGCTGAATAACACAATCTGCTGCTGTTGTGGCTGTGGCTGTGGCTGTGGCTGTGTGGCTGCATCCATGGAAGAACTGTGGTGGCCTGCGGGCTGCGGGAACGGGTTGGGGATTGAGACTTGGCCCGGGGTCCCACCTATGCGGGCCAACTGTTGGGTCAGACCTAGCAGGCCGCCCTCGGCCACCATCACCTGCACGTTGATCACGTCTGCCGGCCGCGGAGGACAAGAGAGTGGACCACAGAACATTAGATAATAATAGACAGCATTTGTATTGCGCAAATCCCCGCTCAACAGCAAGCTGTATGTGCTTTAATAATAGATAAAATTTGTATAGCACAAATCCCCGCCTAACAGCAAGCTCTATGCGTTTCACAATCTATACTATTACCCCAGCAAACCTGAGAGCATTCTGAAACAACCTCATCTTCCTGGGTAGCATGCAGAGCAAGCGGCCATTTATATGCGCTAAAACTAGTAAAACACTAAAATACTGACAAGATCAGATTCAGAAGACATATTGATCTTTTTAGTTTAGTTTATGTACGGTTTTACGGCGCTCACAACATAAGGTCATATGAGCGCCAAGGGGTGGACGTCAACAGAGAAGTCCAAAATGGGGAATCAGGCTTACTCTGCTCACCTCTCTAGCCTCAACAGCACAAAGTCTGCTTTGATTATCAAGGCACCCCGGAAATAGCAGTTCACAAGAGAGGGACAAACATACAAAAGAAGTAGAGGAAAATGACGATAGTAAGGATGAGGACAGAAAAAGCAGCAGTTCCCCCTATGTTGTTTCGGCACAGAATGAGCATGACATTGATAAGTCAGCCCATTTATAATTCTCCTGTGCACAGGAACATGTTAATATCCCCCTTTTGGGATTCAGTCAGTCGCACTGCCCTGTGGGGGGGGGAGATCAGACTTGATGAAATTTTATTGATCTCCTTGAATAACAAATTTGTTGCAGCATTGTAAATACACGCACGCACATGCACTTGTCAACACATACGCACACACACACACACACTCTCCCCTTCTCTCTCTCTCTCATCAACACTCACATGTACACACATTAACAAACAAGGATGAACACATACACAAAAGGTAATTGGAAGGACACACAAAACAATGTTTTTCTAGCACAACTGGCAATGTCTTAATAGGTTGTGTTGATGAGGCTATGAACGAATTTTTATACTTTTGTTGGTTCTTGCTTTGTCAAAAATAAAACATTTACCGGTACTCCTACATTACAGCAACTGCAGCAAACCTGCACTTATCACTACATGGCATTGGACAGAAGGGCGAGAGCCCAGATGTTGCTGGATCGATAACAACAACAACAACAACCGGTACTTCAATCAGATGCCTGATATTTTGAAATTAATGCCGGGTTAAGATGACAGTCCCAGTGCTCAGTCTACTGTTCCTATAAGAGCATACCTGCATCTTACAGTGACGCAGGATATTGCGCGGTGTAGAGCGAAAGAAATGACACCAACACAACCTTTTAGCTCGTAAGACAAGATTGTACTAGCTGAATTAAATGAAGAAAGATAACACACTTACAACAGTGAGCGACGACCCAATCCCCGGCGATACCAACCTTGCGGTTGGCACGATGTCATTGTGTGTGCATAAATAGGTGTACGTATGTGTGTGTAAGCCTGTATGTATGCTGTCGCTACAGCACTAGATGAGTTAGAATATAGGGGTGGTGGGGGTAGGGATAATAATTTCATCATCACCATCAAGTGCCAGATCTGAAACAGTCATCAGCGATGATCATGGCTACCCATTTCCCCATTTTTACCCCAGCACAGATGTTTTTACAACCCCCACATTATTCTAGTGTGTGCTTTACTTGCACCCAAAAAAACCCCCCAGAACAGCACGTATTATAATTTATATCCCTCCTCACCGCCAAAGTAGATCCCTGTGGCTGTGCTCATGCGCCACATGCTGTGGTAGGCCCCGCTGGCGGCTGGTGACCTCATCTCGATGGACACATCTAGCTCCTCGCCAGGTAACAACGCGTCCACCATCCGCCGTTCCACTGTGCTCAGGTTGTCACCACTGCAGAAGCGAAGATGACAGCCGGGTGGCCAGCGGTCCATGCCTGAGAAGTGGACATGATGTACAACTATTGTCAAGGTATAGCTTGTTTTTTAGTAAGTTTTTATGGTGCTCGCAACTGCATAAGGTTATCATATGAGCGCCAAGGGGTGGATGTCAACAGAGAGGTCCAAACGGGGAATCAGGCTTACTCTGATAATCTCTCTAGCCTCAACACCACAAAGTCCGCTTCGACCACCAAGGCACCCCGGGAGTAGCAGATCCCAAGAGAGTGACAATCAAAAGAAGACGAGGGAATATATGACGATAGTGGATGAGGAAAGAAAAAGCACCAGTTCTCCCATGTTGTTCCTGCACAGTTTGAGCAAGCACTGATAAATCAGCCCATTTACAATTCTACTGTGCATAAAAACATGTTAATATTTCCCCTTTGGGAACGGCCTAAAGATACCTTCAGTCAGCAGCACTGCCCTGGGGGTTACTAGTACATGTTTTGCGAGGGTATTAGTATGTGTTTTACGGGACATGCAAAATAAAGAGGTCATGAAGTTAAAGAGTCAAAGATTAGAGAGGTGTTACCAGAGAGTATACAAAGGAAAGATGGACAGATGGTGAAAGTAGGTGTTTGATGTGAAAGAATGAAAGAAGGAGTAGGCCTAAGCCACACCAAAGCCTGTGCCAACCACTCATTTTGACTGTTTGTTTGAGTACAGAGAAGCATATATTCATACAGTGGCATGGCACATTCAGAACTGGGAAAAAGTAATATATAGACAGACAGAAACAATAGAGAAAAGCATAGACGTAGGACCTACCAGTGCCACTTTCCAATCACCCGAACATCATATAAATAAAAACAAACAATTTTACTTAATTAATCACTGAAGGCAATGTATGGCTTCAAAGATTTGTACAGAAACTTGCTCACCCTGATTCTTAATTTTCCACGTTTTGATGAAAGTGGTGCTGGGAGCCACAGACTCCCCGTCCCCTATGGTCAAGTCTCCAAGAACAGACATAGAGGGCTGGAGGTTTGTTGGCTGCTCAAAGTCATAGTAGGAACACACTGCGTTCTGCAGGTTCCTGCGAATAAAATTGGCGTCATGGATGAGTTCCAATCTCACAAATTCATCACGCCGAGACATATATATATGCCTAATCTAATGCCTATATCTTTGTCTCAACCAGATTGTCCAGAAATCAGAAATCCGTGAGACAGAACTTCCGTCTTTACCCATTTCCATCATGCCAGAATCTTTCTCAAGATGGAAATCTTAAACTATGCCGACTGCCAAAGTCATTTGTCTTTGTTCGTTATAAATAATCTGTATCAAATCACAGATTAGACCTGTCCCTTAATCTATCACAAAACCCTGTCCACTGAGGGTAGGGATCTGTCCCCCCTTTTTTAGAATTGAAATTGTGACCCTGAGCCCGATCAAGAGTGGCTCTGCTGAAACACTAGTACACTCATCTTTTCATTTTTTGTTCTGATGTAAAACAGAATAGATCTAATTACATAGAGGCTCTAGGCTCTAAAGAGCAGAATTCTTTCTTTTACTTAAGTTTAAGCGCTAGATCTAGGTTCTTATCCTAAACCACCCTTCATGAGCAGGAGGCGAGGTATCAATGATTTTGATTTTGACTTTTTTAAGAACCAGACTTTTTTTTCTCCAGAAGATTCCAGGGCTGGATCCAAGCAGATCGGGTCAGCGGGGCCGAAGGCCCCATCGCGGCCGATGAATGCGCGGTGATTTCGGGATTATATTACGGCTATAAATGGAAGGGATGGCTCCCTATATAGAACGCATTGGTCTAAAAAGACAAAAACTGGCGTTTTGGGGTTTCTAGACTTAAAAAATGAATTGAGCGACCCCACAAAGTGCTAAAGTGTA